TTTCAAAATTTGTTGTATCTATCATGGGACTACAGGCACATATTTCCGTCAGTATTTACGCTGCGAAAACAATTCAATGGAGAGGTACGTGGACACGCGTTTAACCCTTAATCGGGGTGTGACGATGCGGCATGCTGTGCAAACTACACAGTTTATAAACGGGGAATAGCAATAATTGAATCGCATTTTAATACGATAACGGATGCAGCGGTGGAAGCGCGGAGATGCGAGATTCTTTAGCGGATCGTTTCAGCGAGGAATGTTATACGGGACATTAATGAGCTGACGCACTCCGTTGGAAATTGCATTTGGAAATCCCCTTCGGGATTCGATCGTGGCGCGAGCATCCCATTCTACTGCTATAACAGTGGTCTTTCGGCCGTGTTCCGGGGTGTCCGGGCTCGCGTGGAAGGGGCGCGAAGGGCTGTTTTATGCAGGCCTTGGATTTTATGCAATGAGACTGCAATATCAAACGGCGCGCGAGCGGAGTGCCGTTGAATAAAATATCCGGTACTGTTGAGGAAAAAAGCAGCGAGACGAGCGGGTGGGAAAGGAAAATGGGGTGAGGAACGACCGCCAGACACATTTCGATTTCCCTATACCTGGCTGTGCTGCACAATAGATACCTACACAGGAGCCGTGCGATCGCGCGGGATCTCACGGGTGTATTAAAGTGCGCCTCATATTCCCCACCGATCGTTGCAGTAATTTATTACGCGCCCGATCGCTATTCGCTGTCCCATTGTTTTTTTGTTTATTGAAATGCGGCCTCGATATTACTGTCGCTCGATTTTTTAACTCATTCAACGAGTCACCGATTTTTCAGTCCTTTGAAAGAAAAGTCTGAATTTTTCACGAGTCGTTTGCACACAACAGCATAGATGTTTCGTGAACTTTCTCAACGATTTTTGAATACATCAGAATCGGAACGTAACGCGATATTTACATTTGGACAATCGTCGTTCCTCGTATGAGATTCGATTCATTTCATGAAGTATTCTATCGATCTGTCACGAAATTGTTTTTGCCGCTTCGTACAATTATTTCAGAATTAGCAGAACCAGGCAGGTTTAAAAGCGCGATATACGCTAGAAATGTCATTTAATTATAATGTATCGTGCGCTTTATCCGCGTAATTTATTATTAAATTTACATACCCAGCTATTGGTCATTTCAACGACTATGCTGACAATGTTCCCTCTTCGTCATTGTTTACAGTCATTCTGTGTTTAGCAACTCGGTCAACTTATGCGAACGAATAATCTCGCTTGACGTCATGGAATGAAAAAATGAAACAATGCAAAAACAGTTGAGTGCAAAGAGTGTTGTGAAGTAGAAAGGGATGTGTGCGGGAGAGAGAGAGAGAGAGAGAGAGAGAGAGAGAGAGAGAGAGAGACTTCGAAACTTAGGTCATTGGTGTCACGTGGCTCTTGACGATCTGAAAAGTAAGAGCCGGGAGGGATGAAGAGAGTGCAGAAGAGGGTAGAGGTAGACAGAGAAAGGGAGAGAAACGGGAACGCTGTAACAGCACGATTCGAGGCGGCTTAACCGGCAAATCCGAGGTAAGATCCTTCGCGAAATCTCTATTTCCGCGAACGCCATGTTTCCACGACGTTCTCTCGTAGCCGCCGGAAGTACTCTTCCGCCTCTCCCCGATCTCCAGCCGATTCCAAAACCCGGGTCTACTTGCGTCGCGGGCGCGTGTCTGCCATGTAAATCTTAAAGGATTACGCTCATAATTGCTTGCGTCGCCGCGTAATTGAAGAGCACTTAGACCGGCTCAGAACCGACGTGATACGTGACTACCTCGCACCAGGATCGAAGATCCCGCCGAAACGATTCCGTCATGGATTCTCATCGTGCAACGCGCGAACGTGGCAAAATGCTACGTACAAAATGGACTCATATTAGATAGGATGCAGGGATGTCGTGGTGTACGTGATATTATAGCTTCATGAATGTAATATATTCGTATCTTCAATCTTGCAAATATATAAAAAGGCGATAAAGATTTTAATGAGAAAACAATAACTGCTTCCAATAAAAAATTTCTTCTTCTGACATTTAATATTGATTTCTACTTCAAAAATCTATTTTAAATACTCACATTTAGATTTTTCAATGAAATACTGAAATGTCATGTGTATTTAATTGGATACACACTTAAATATCAAAGAGCAATAGTAATTCAATCTCTTGAATTAAATAACATTTTGTTTTTTTTAATTGCTATATATGTCAAATTGCAGGTCAATCCATTTCTGCAGTTTTAAATAAACAAGGTTGTTTTAAAATAAATAATGTTTATATTAACTTATGCACTTGGTGAATAATAAACTAAATTTGAATTAAATTTAATACATTTTTTAAAATTAAATTGATTAACTTTATTGTGTTAATTATATTAATGATATATTAAATAAGAATAATCTAAATGAATATGATATATATCTAAATAAAAATGAATTAAAAATAACTTAAATTGTATATAATTTGACATTATGAATTTAAATAGTGCTGTAGATCAAAATTCATAAATATTTATTTTAAAAAAGTTAGGCAGAAAATAGGCGTCAGAAGACCGATTACAAAAATTCATGCTCAGTGTTGACCTTTAACATATATATATATAAGTAATTAAATATATTTTGGTCCTTTGTTATATAAGATGGAGCTTTCGTGTTCCGAGTTAATTTTTATCACTTTTGTAGTATTTATATAGAAATTATTAAATGATTTTTAAAATATTATTTTAATGTTGCTATAAAGTATTTATAAAATAATAAATTTATTTTAAAAAAAGGAAAAAAAGAGAAATTAACTTTTAGCCAAATACTTTTAATATTTCAAAGAAAAGAAATGAGTAGAACACGAATGATTCAATCGTGTCTAATGTAATCATATTAGGCGTACAACTTTGCTTCCGCCGTTTTCCTATAGATGGCTTTAGCGGTAAGTGGTGGTCGAAATAAATAGATCATAGACGTCATACAATAAACTTGGGCATCTGTCAACATAACCCCATAGAAACATTAGTCGATTTGTGTCTGCATCATAAAGTTATTCTCGATTGAAAATGTCAGTTTACGAGCCAAATTCTCGTCATTTGCGGGAGGTTTTAATTTTTTGCTTCAATATGAAGAAATCTGCGGCTGAGGCTCATCGAATGCTCTCAAATACTTATGGTGAGGCCGCTATTAGTGAAAGAACGTGTCGTGAGTGGTTTCAACGCTTCAAGAACGGTGATTTTGACGTCCAAGGTCATGCTCTGTATTTGGTGGGACCAGCTCGGCGTAGTGTATTATGAACTGTTAAAATCGACTGAAACAATCACAGGCGATCGGTATCGAACGCAATTGATGCGTTTGAGCCGAGCATTGAAAGGCAAACGGCCGCAATACAACGAGAGACACGATAAAGTGATTTTGCAGCATGACAATGCTCGACCCCATGTTGCGAAAGTGGTCAAGACATACTTGGAAACGTTGAAATGGGAAGTCCTACTCCACCCGCCGTATTCTCCAGACGTTGCTCCGTCTATCACTTGTTTCGATCAATGGCACACGGCCTGGCTGACCAGCACTTCCGGTCTTATGAAGAAGTAAAAAATTGGATCGATTCGTGGATAGCCTCAAAAGATGACCAGTTTTTTCGACGCGGGATTCGTACGCTACCCGAAAGATGGGAGAAAGTAGTGGCCAGCGATGGACAATATTTTGAATCATAAATGTATAACCAGTTTTTTACAATAAAGCCTCGAATTTCGGAAAAAACGGCGGAAGCAAAGTTGTACACCTATTAATGTAATCATATTATTAATTCTAATTTCTCACCGAGCGTTCTTTTAGTTTTCATACCGTACATAACCAGCCATTCAATTATCGAACATCATTTGTTGAACAAAGAAGAAGCATAGTCCGCAATTCGGCACTCGAGCAATGCAGGCGAAAGTGAATACACCTACATTAATTTTTTTTTAAGAAAATTTGTGTCATCCCTGACTTTGTTGCTTACACGTGAAATATTATAAGTATTATTTTTTTGGTCAGACAATTTGGATATCATGTATTGATTTTGAGATTTAATTGGTTAATTCCTTCTTTATTGTTAATATTATAATAGCTGTGACTTACAGTTACGCATAAAGAATTTAAAAAACTTCGTAATAGATTATCCCTATGTTGCTATATTGTTTCAAAAATATAATTATTATTTAATTGATTGTTTTGCTCTTAGTTCTTTGATATTAGTCCCAAATTCTGACTCGCTCTTAATCGCGGCTTTATTAACTAATGAAATCGTAATCGTGCGATCTTTGACGCAGCTCGTCGACTTTCGCGCGATCCGATCTACGTCCAAACTTAAGCTCCCAGTACAAGCCTAAACTCGTGATACTGTCGGGTTTAATGGATTAATTTTGTAATTGGATGATTTGTATAATTGAGGCACGCACACAACGTAACTATGACCAGTGATGACGTGGGTGTTTGTGACAAAATTTTAACTGAACTTTTGGACTTTCGTTCTGACGAGAGTTTTGGGACTATCGGAAATGTCAACAGTGCGTTACTGGTTTATGGAAAAGTTGGGATACGAAACTATTTCGGGTTTTTGTCGGAAGCTTCCATCGGCGCTTTGTAGGACCACAATCGATTGGCGTTTCAGTGATTTACCGATAAAGTGACAAGTCTGTTAGTCGATATATACGGTCGCGGCGAATATTTTCTGCGTGTATAAAACTTTAGCAGCTGTTATTTTAAACGAATTCTGCGGTATCACTAACAATTGCGATTTTAAATTTTTGATCGTGTTACATTTTTTACTTTTTCTATTAGTTTTTTTTTTTATACAACCTTTACAATATTCGATAGTGTCTTCGGTAGTTTTCGGTAATGATTTTTTTTATTATTAGGTTGGAAAAGTTATAAGTTTCGAAGCACTTTTTAAATTTAAGTTTTGAAACGTCTTTTAACCTTTTTTTCTTTTTTTTTGTGTTTCAGGTAGGTCTAATAAGCAATAGAATTGATCTGTGTTCGATACATCGACGGAAAATACGTGTGAAGAATTTAGACAGTATGATGATGACAAACCTACCCCCTGTTATGCTGCCACCCATTACGGACTACGGGATGCTGACGCCTACTCTCGGAATAAAGGTGAGTTGATTTGCCCTCCGGCAAACCTCAATGAAGAACTGAATTTCGCGATTATACATAAATACAATCAAATATCAATTACACAATTTTATCCATATCCTGATCATACATACGCTTATTTAAATTGGCATATATTCAGAAAGAAACGAAGCGAAAAACGATTTTACTGGAAGATTAAAAATTTTATACTAATATAAGTCTGAAAATAATATTTACAGATCTGAAAATAATTTTGTTGGGCCATCAAAATAATTATGATGGAAACTAAAAAAAATGAGCAATACTTGTACTGCGAAAAATTTTAATATTCTGTCAATCAGTTTGAGTTTCTAATAAAATTATCTTGACGGTACAAAATTAGTTTTAAATCTGTATCCAGTAAAATTTTAAATCTTTTAGTAAAAAAATCGTTCTTTCCGTATAAAATATAATATACAAAATACATAGATTAATCTTTCGTGTAAAAATGTATAAACAAAACGCATGAAAAATCTTTTGAGTTTAGGTCATGTAAAAGCATATCGATCGCTTTCACATTGATATATTTTTCTACCGATAGTTTTTGACAAGTCAACTACAAAATCGCCGCGGGCTATTTTAATGGTGATTGTAATCATTTTTATCCAAAAAGGTCTGTTACTTGTTCTCGCTTCTATACGGTTTTTTTCTCGGAACAATGGTACGTTTTACTACCGATATAAAAGCACTCCTAGCGAGCCTTTCGAGCATCGGCTATCGCCTTTTACCTCCGCTTTTACAGCTTCACACTGCACTCTTGTGTGAGCACCCTACAAGCCGCGAGATATTAATTAAAATTCCGTCTGAAATACTTCCAACGCAGAAGGGTGAGCGCCAGTGTATTGGCTAATGGGGCGAGATGGGGAAGAGTTTGTATTGCACTGGCGTGTCTAATTTACTCGGCGATCTTCTACATTCTCAAATAAATAAGCAATAACAACTATCAACATTTTATTATGCTACTTATGTACATCAACTTCGTGTTAAAGCTAATAGTTACATTCATAATGCAAGTGAGGGATGCGATTAAAATGCTAACCTTAATATTGATAAAAAATTGATTTAAAAATTAAGACAAAATAAATCTGTACAATTGTATAAAAAAGAAAATGAAATGTAATATTAAATTATATGTGCAAAAATGTATATACGATTGTTATTCGTACGCAGTCGTGTTAAAATAAAAATTATCGTTTGAAGTATATATTTGTATTATATTTGATAGAAAATATATTCTAACAAATACTCGATAAAATATAGAATACATTTTTTATAATCTGTAATAAGATTATATTTTTATAGAATAATAATAAAAGGATTGTTTTAAATAAAATAAAACATAAAATTGTATATGCGTTTGATTAGAATAAAAGATCATAGAGATTGAATTTTCTGTGTAAGAGAAATAGGCAATTCCCTTTCACATTTCCGATATACTGAGTGATGAAAAAGTGAGGTATAATTGGCCGTGCGATTCCATCGGTTGTCATGCACGCATGTACGTGTGCGTTGTTAACGCGCGATTGCAAATTTTCGAATTTCATTGCTCACTTCCTTGCGTTGTTTACAACCACATTATCGAGGTTTAGCGAATTTTCCCTGTTACGTTTTACAATTCATCGTTTCAATTTGTAAACGTTATTAGTTATTAATTTGCCAATCGTGAAAACCCAAACACAAAGCTACTTGAATAAACTTGGCCATTATTCTTGCATTCATGAATTCGATCTTTTCGATCGAGTGTAGATGGATAAGTGAAATAATTAAATGAGATCGGAGAGCGGCATATGGCATGTACAAGTAACTCGGAAATCTTATATATACGAGACGATAAGAATCTGTCTGAAATCGTCACGGAAAAGTCGTCACGGAAAAGGTGAAATCTTATTGTATCAGATAACTCGTACAACTTATCTTCGTTGTCACGAAAGATTTCTGTTTCCCTTTATGAGTGTAGGAGGGAGTCTTTCAATCAGATCGACAAAGAGTGCTTTCAAGGACAGATAGTTAGCGATTGAAAGAATGCGTTATTCTCGATTCTTTCTCTTCAGGCCATGTTACTGTATTTTCTGAGGTATCGTATTTTCCAGTTACTTTCCAGGCTACTTTTAATTTTAAACTATTTTCAGCGAAATATATATATATATAAAATCGCATAAAATATAAAATTACTGCGCTTCGGCATAAACGTCATATAAGTAAAAATTACGTTTGTTGAAATTAACTGGATATTATATTATTACTTGCATTCTTTATGTTCACTTTTTTGATCATCTCTCTCGAAAAGAAGTCAACTTCATGTTCGAGAAGCAACCGTATATAAGTAGAGAAGAAAAGATATTCTAAACTTCGATATTGAAAATATCCCTTTCGTAACTCGCCTTCGGTAGTTGAGAAAAGTGGAGATAGTTTTGCGACACGTTGTATAAGATTTTTAAGAGTTCAATGCAAAGAAGTTTGTCGGCTCGTCGCGGGAAGTATGCAACGCGCAGATTCACGTCGGATAAGGGAGAGAAAAGAGGGCGTTTTCGGGCTGCCGGCAAAGAAGCGCTTCTATAGAAGCGTCGCGAACAAAAAGCTGAATAACATTAACTCGCTTAATGTATTCCCTTAATTTTAATACACAATGCCCGTCGGTACGAGGCCTCCGAGCCATGTTCTCGCAACTAACCACCGGCAAAGATTCTTACCGCCGTTAAATCTCCACATCTTAATCTTTTTATCTGATTAATATTTATGTTTTATTAACATCAGTCTTGCTTTTAGATTAGAGAACGATATAACGGTATTTATTATAAGCATCAAGATATAAAACCAGAAAGTAATAAATTTTAATAAAAAATAAATTTTAAATTTATACCGTTATAATTGTTCTTTTGTGTATTAAGTGGTATATTATCTTTAATCTTGATGATATTTTAGCATTCTGTTTGTACTATAATTATTTGGTCTCTTTCTTATCACAAATACATTTTAGATCTTTTTTTTTCTGTACACAGAAAAAAAAACGATATGTTAACAGCATTAATCGACAGCAGTCTAATGAAAAGTAAAATTGTTTATTTAATAATATTAATCCTTCAAAAATATGATATTCATATAGATATCCAAATATCTTTGATGTATGAATATGATATAACGTTTTTCATTGTATATTATCTTATCAGTTCATCCTTAGTTCATTCTTATGTTTATTTTTCTATAGAAAGTATGTTATCTATAAAAAAATTTTCAATAATTTTTCGGAAACAAAAAGAAATTTGACTCATAATTCTAGGTTTTTATTTTTTAAGATAGAAAAATTTTATAAATATTCACATTTTCATATATATTGGATATACATATATTTACATATCCACGAATATGAATATTTATAAAATTTTTTTATTTTAAAAAGAAATCTAGAATTATATGTATTGTTTCCTAAAAACTATTAAAATTTTTTTGGCGAGTTTTATTTTTTAAATCTTACAATTTCCCTTGAGTAAGATTCGTTGTATTCTTTTCTTCGAAATATGATATCGTTTCAGTGCCTGGCAGTGGCTTTCGTCCCTGTAAAAGTAACAAAATTAACAAAATTATTGTCAATTAGAACTGCTGTCGGTTAATAGCATTAATATTTTTCGTATGTAATTCTCAGCGTATTGCATTTCCATTGCGTTTTCTCGTCGTCGCTGTTTGAAACAGCACTCGCGAAACAGACCCGCAGGGTCCTCGCTTGATGTTTCGCGCAGCGAAGATTACGTTTAGGATCGATTTTCTACGCATTACTTTGATCAATTTCACGATCATTTGACCAGAAGGACTTTTCATATACCGGCGATGCCTCCTTCCTCGCCTAAAGGCCGGCATCGTTTCCCAAAGCGTCCTTTCGAGTACACGCCAGGTCTGGTCGAGTTCGAGCCACATCGCATCGCATCGTACGACTCGTCGTTTTCTCGCTGGTGTTTCGTATATTTTCTTTGTGTTAATCGTGTCCAGGTCGGCTGATCCCGCGTATATATATATATATATATATATATATATATACCGAGAACCAGCCCCCGCTCGAACTCCCGAGGCGCTCTGACGTCACTCGTATTATTTCCACTCGCGTCCCACCGCACTCCGCCCACTTGTCAAACGCACGCATCGTGCGTGCGAGAGAGCGAGATAGCGAGCGAGCGTGACCGGAACGGCTAACGCGTGCATTAAATTCGGGACGATTTGATTGTTGCGGGGAGCGGCGAATTAATTTCCATTCGCGACGCAGGTATATAACGGCGAATTTCAGTCCATCTCTCGGCAACCGCCCACCACGTTTATTAATAAACGTTATTCTTGGTATTTATTTCGCGTCGGAAGAGATATCGGCTAATTGATTAACAACGAGGAAACGGCGTATCCCGTAATAAATTCGCTTAATTTTCAAAACTCTGCATTCCCCATTCTCTTCAACGTTTATTTATTACTCACCCCCTTTCTTTCTCTCTCTGTTTCCGCGTACGTTGATTTGTCCGTTATTCATTGCAACGTAAGAATTTATACGCCACGTGTAATCAAGTCGAATTAATCTACCTGTAGTGTACGTATCTCACGTGAGCATTAATTTCATTTGAAATTATATTTCGATATTTTCATCGCAATGGTGCCTCTATCGATCTTGCGATTGCTCACTTGATCGTCCGCTTATGCATATACGCTTGTTGTACATAGACTGTATGACAAAACGAAGAGGACAGAAATGCACATGAATATCCTGGCATACCCGTTGGTGACCTCGTCTCTTCGTTTGCATACGCAAACAGTGGAATTAGGGCCGGACACGTCGCGCTGCATGCTCGATCGGAGGTCCTTTGCCCCCGGGAGCGCGTTATTGTCGTCTCGAGCAGGTTATTGTCGTCGAAACACGTCGGAACAATCGACAATATTGCCTGAAATTTGACAGGTCCTCGGGGTTTCCGTTGGTAAACCACGTCTGCCACTCTCCCTCCCAGTTCGAC